ATGAATGAATGAATAGATTTTTTTGCAGTCATTGCAGTCGATGCCTGTAAACAAATTTTGAAACTATTTTGATCAATTGAATAAATTCTACAGATAAGAACAATTTAAAATGAGTGCCATTGAAAGTTATTATTAATTTTTAATTGCTATAATTCTTCTGAAGTTTAAATTTAGAAGAAGCATTATAAGTACTTCTTCGATTTTTTATTTCCTTTCAAATTTTTTTTAACTGTCTTAAATTTTCCACGTCTTTTGAAAGAAACCAATCGTTTAATTAAGCTAAAATTTTCAATTTTTTCTTAATATTTCTTGATTTAAATTAAATAGGCGCGAATGTTGTTAATTTAAAATGATTGCACAGCTAAGCCTAATAGAATACTTAATTTTACAGTTTCGCTTCAAATATCAATTTATTTTTATGTGAATTGTATATGAGTACAGCTTGAGTTATACAAATCATGTAGCGACGAGTTGAAATGGAGATAGGAGTGAGTGTGTGTTGGTTTTATGCATGTCTTTTCATTTCATTTTTTATCATCTTGTACATAATGTTGACTGCCTGTCTCAATATTTTAATTCAACTCTATTCTGAGTAGTATTTTCTTGGGTACAAACATTTAGGAAATATTATGGTAAACCGTATAAAGAATTACAAATTTTTAAGATTTAAGATCACATAAAACTATTTTGGATGAAACTTCGTAAATATAACATGTTGAGTGTTAAGATAAAATAGTAATTTAAAATGATCGTAAATTATTATCAGACGCGGAACAATTGGCAGAAATGATGATGATGATGAATCATGATGATGATGATGACGGCGATGTAAGTTGATGCTGATATATCTGCAATGGTGATTTGAGATTTGAGTTGAAGAGTGATGACGTATGATGATGATGATGATGATGATGATGATGATGATGATGATGACGATGACGATGATGATGATGGTGCTGACAAAGATAAACGATTATGAATGATAATTAATGATGATGAATGATTTTGATTGATGGTGAAAGAGGATGACTGATTGAGAAATGATGATGAATGAACAAACAGGTACGATGATATATGCTGAAGTACGTGCTGGTGTTTGCTTCATAGGTTGTTAACGCGAATCGATCAGTTGAGTCCATTTGAACGTTGCCGCCTGCTTGCTCTTGACGACTGTTCTGCTGTTCCTATTGAATGAAATGCTGCGGATAAACTTCTCCGAGCCAGGATAGAGGAAGAGAAACATACACTGTATAAAACAAACACACCATATATAAAACTACAAAAAAATACAAATCCCGATATATAAATACAAATACAAATACAAACTTATGAATACACACAAAACGACTGAGAACACATACATATATATGTACACATATATACATACACACATACTTATACAAGAAAATGAGCCATGTATCAGCAGCAAAATGCAATACAATTATTGCCGTCCTAAGTGCACAAACGATGCATGCGGCCTTAAAAGATGCTTAACGCGGACGAAAATGACTTTTTAATAAAATTTATCACAGCCTGTATCTCGTTGGCGTTCGCTGCAAATGGAATCCAGCCACACGGCGTCATGTCGGCATCCTTATTGTCAGATGATCATTTCAGACGCATAAAAGTGCATGACGCTTAACTCCAGACAGAGATGTCATTATTCAACCGTCAACAATAATGATAATGATGTCGTTAGGGGTGATGAAGTTGGGATGATGGGTGAGATGATGATTTCGTTGGAGGTGTGAGGCTTGTGATGATGAGTAAGATGATGATGTCTTTCGAGGTGATGATGTTACGCTGATGAGTAGGTCTGATGATTGGTGATAGCAATGAGGATCACCGTTGGCGATGATGCGTAAATTATTTGTAATGATGGTTTCAATGATGATGTGAGATGAGATGGGAGAATGCTGAGCAGATTCAGTTTGAGAACGATACTTCGGTCATTTTCGGTCAGTCGCCTGTCTACTGTGATTCGGTTGTAAATAACATGTCACAAAATTCAGAGGAAAGTCATTGCGTGGTTTAAAATGAAAAGGGAAATTAGCGGAGAGAAAAGGACTCTCATTCACTTCCTTTCATTCCATCATTCATCTATTCATACATTCATCCATCCATTTCTCTGTGGATAGCAAAACTACGATATTCACCTATCTCTTGTGTGCCTGTTGAAATCTTTTTAGATTCATATTTCTGCTGAGTAGCAAAACCAACATTAGCGATGGCAACGCAAATAAAGAAAATTTATACTGAAAATCATAACAAGATAATTGAGTCAACTGTTAATGTTTTTTTCTATTAAAAATATATCTACATTTTTGTTTGTTTATACATAATGTTTAACAAAAACGTACAATTCATTGAGTTGGCCAAAGAGTGGAATGAAGGAAGAAGATTGTCGGCACTGGTTTGTTCACATGAGAGATGAAACGTTCGATTCGTGCAGAGAATTACAACGTCAATCGTCGCGCTGGAACCATGCAACAGAGTACAACATAAGACGAAGTAGATAGTTCGCTGAACTTTCTTTGCAAACAACAACAACAACAACAATAATAATAATAATAATATATTGCCGGCAGGAATGAACAGGAGGAACGATAAAAAGTTATTTCAGCTGAGAGTGCAATTAAAACGGGGATGCTTACAGGACTGCAGAAGTTATAAAATATTTAATTATCACTATTGAATTTAATACTCTTACAGATGTAACAAAAACTATGAAAGAACAAATTGAATCATTTCGAAAAATAACAACAAATAACTGAATGGTGATTATATAAATATGCAGAACACAACAACAGCAATAACTAATATACAAAAATGTAACATTGCAATCATAATGAAAAAATAATGAACAACAACAACGATAAGCAAGCAAACAATGACGAAACAACAAAAAAATTCAATGAAACATGTAAACAGGTCCTGGGAGAAATTACCTCTCATCTCACTATTCACTTTTTCAACTGCTTTCACTTTGTTACTTATATTTTAAATTCTCAGTTCGGCGCGTATTTTAAAGTAATTAGTTCAGCGTTACCTATTTTAATGAAATCGAGGAAAGAATTCATTACATTGACGTTCTGTTCATCTGTTGATTTCTTGCAGCACACTGTACACTCTGGTGACAGTATTTTTAATAACAGGTAACAATATTTTTATAGTGTGTTATTAAAAAAATTTTGTTTTTCAAATAAATTGGAGTTGTGTGTCTATAAATGCGATGAAGTTGACGGAGATGAATAAATTAACATAATTAACGATAGTAGAATAAATAAATAGAAAAAAGAAATAAAAAAGATTAAAAGGAAATAATAAAAATGGAACGTTAATGCTTACCGGCTCTTACGGTTCCTATCGATGTTTGGCGCGCTGTTGCAAGAAGTCAGAAATTTATCGTTCCTACGCCCAATTCATTTCGCCGAAAAAATCTTGGCAATGTTTTGTGTGTTTCATGCTGCGATATTCATTCATCTAGTTTTTCTGCAACATTCAGAACGCAAAAATATGCCAAATAAACACAATTTATTATTTCAGTTGTTGGAAAGAGGTTTGAAAGTTTTTATGTTTTTATGACGTACTTAGTTTGTAATTGGATGGTGGTACTTTGTGATTGGATAGTTTTACATTGTGATTAGATGACTCTGACTGTACATTGTGATTGGATGGTTGTACTTTGTGGTTGACTGATCGTACTTCGTACTAATATGGTTTGGTTTTATTTGTAAGTACTTCTGTAAATGGTCTGTAAAATTGGCTTAATAGTATTTTTATGTTAGGCTGTCAAACTTTATAGGCAGAGTTATATCTACCGGTTCATTATTAAGCCTTGGAGTTGGTACGACAAACACAGGCAGGGCATCAAACAGATGAATCAGTGAAAAAATAGAATTTTATGTCTGATAATTTTTAAATTTGTAGACGTTTGTGTTATTTTAAAATGATTTTTCTTCAAGAAATATGGCAAACTATACAAAGGTTTAAGAATGACAGAATTTAAATTAAATTTAATTTACATTTTATTAAATTTAATTAATAATTTGTTGAATTAATGGTGAAAACAATAACTATGTCAATGTCATTGACATTGATGTAATATTATTATCGACAAAATGACAATCAATCCCCAGCTAGCCTATATGATCTATAGATAGTTTACCTATGTATAAAAATTGCTTTATAAGATCAGTTTTGAATGTAAAACTTCATTTTGTAAAGAGCTTATCCAACTTATATGCTCTTTATTTTTAAAAGATAAGTTTTTAAAACAATCATGACCATTTTTTTTTTAGTTTAGAAAATTTTGTTTTATGATATAAATAAGGAGGTTAATAAATCATTAAAGTTCAAAACAATTCCAGCAAAACATTCCCAGTCAGAATCATCACTGACGAATAAAAGATTTAATATTAAAAAAACTGTAATGTGAGAAGCTAATTGAGTAACGTGTAATAAGATTGACTTTAAATATATTCTTAGAAATAACCAGAGCTAATTCGCCTACAAAATGACATTGTTTTTGGCTGATATCGTCATACTGCCCAATCACTTTCTTATTTGGCGAGTGTAGAGTAGACAAATGTCATATTTTTCTAATTGTTCGTTATTTTTCGTGACATCAGCCCGTTTAAATAGTAAAACCAACAACATCAACTTGTTAGAACCAGTAACATCAACATATTTTTTTGTTCATGTGTGCCTACCAAACAAAACCTGCCTTAAAATAACACATCTTAGTTATTTACTAAATGCATTTACTAAAAGCATAACTCTGTTTATTAAGAATTTCGTACGTTGTTGGTGGCTTTCGATTTATCAACAGAACAATTCACGCATTCGAATTACAATTTCTTTTAATATAAAACTCAAAAGTTTAGTACTGAATTCTGCTTCAGGTTAAAAATGTGGCAGTTTTTTTTATAAGTGAACACTAGATCATCACATATCAGTCATACTTACTTAAATAACAAATAATTGTAAACAAAAGCCAAATGGTTATTTTCGATAAAAAGAGGTTGCGATAGTTAGTTGGTTGTTCCGCATCGTCTTTGAATGAAATAAAATAAAAAATAGAATCCGAAATGTCGACATTGGAGCTGCCACCACGGCGTTACACGAAGGGGCAGGAGCTGACCATCCGAAGGAATCGAACCTCCCTTGAAATCCTCTTGCAAATGGGCTTCCCAAAGTTGAGAGCGTCAGTTCAATTTCTTGGTTCAAGTTTTTTAGTCCTTTTTTTATAATTTGAATTCTATTTGATTCAGTTTTAAGTTAATTTAATTTTCAATGAAAATTGAATTGATGAAAATTTCTCATCAATTCATTCAATTGTTGAGGATGATGATGGACCATGAGGACTCAAGTCATCATGTCATATCCGCATCATGTTACAATGACATGAACATTATTTTTTGTAGTTTAATGAATGTTTAAGTGTAATGGGTTTGTATCTTTATAGTTTATAGTGTGTTTTAATATATAATAATTAAAAATATTGTTGTTAATTTTGTTGTTTTGAGGCGAGTGAGGTTCTAATTTGGTGATTTAATTTACTAACTTCTAATCTAATCTAATGATTTTATTAGATCATTTAAAAAAATCATATTAAGTCACATTGTTTTAAGAAACTAAGTTTAAAAACATGAACAGCAAAATGTATTGAAGGCAATTTAATCTTTAAATAACCTCTAAAATAACCAAGTTGGTAGTGTCAAATAAGGCAAAAGTCATCCACAGTCCTTGCTCAATCATTTTAATAAAATTATGAATAATTTTTTTAGAGAAAAAGCCTTGGCTGCCACAGGAGACAAAGGAGTTCAACTAGCTTGTGATTGGTCAGTAGTTAATGTTAGCTTGTGATTGGTTAGTGGTAAATAATATTAGCTTGTGATTGGTTAGTTGTTAATAATGTTAGCTTATGTCTTTATGATTGGTTAGTAGTTAATAATGTTAGCTTGTGATTGGTCAGTAGTTAATAATGTTAATTTAGGTTATGTTCTTTTTTAGACTCAATCATAAATTATGTAAAACCTATGGTTTTCAATAACTGAATGCTTTAAAAAAGTATAGTTATAATGTTATTGAAGTGCTTTTTTGACGATAAACTTTTATTTGAAAATTTGTTTTTTTAAGGTTACATCAGTGTTGTTAAAAGTATTTGTAATTCTCCCAAAACATTGATTCACATTTTTTCTTCAAGTCAATAAAACCTCATTTAACAGCATTGTAAATGCAGTTTTCAATAGGTTTCTCAAGCAAGTGGTTCAGATAATTTTTGTTGTTCTGCTTATTTAAAACAACAATGAATCTAAAATAACTGTCTCATGTTTTTAAGTTAACACTCAACCAGACTTTGCTTACCAGCTCTGGTGTTTGATTCAATGATTCCAATCTTGTTAATTTTAATAAAAATATTATCACTATAATTTTCAACTATACCAGCAATCATTTTAGTCACGGCAATATAGTTATAACAATAATAATATCATTTTCAACATTACGAAAGGTTGCTATCACACGTTCGTGATCCAACACTTGATGAAAACAGGCAGAGGGAGTACACCCTGTACCTCTGTCCGCTTGGCCCCCTGCAACAAGAATTTCTCGATTTCTGGCAGAAGTCCTTCAAGGAATGTGGATGGAACAGGGCCCACAATTACTTCCCTCACATCACGCTCTGTTCATTTTTCCAGGTTTTCCTATTTTTCTTCGGAAAAAAAATTTATATCAATGTACTTTTTTAATTGGACAACAATGTAATGTTGTTCAATTGTTATATTTTGTATGTGCAATAACTAATGATGATTTCATTCATTGATTGGTTGACTGATTGATTGTTTCATTGATTGGTTGACTGATTGGTTGAATGTATATTTTCAACAGGCATCCAACTCAATGGTATCACTCCTATCACACACAGTCAAAAATATATCAGAGAAATATTCCTCGTTACTAGAGAAATTGGAGTTTGATTATTTCTCATCAGTCAAATTTGTTGGCTTGTTTGTCATGGAGTCATATGCTAAAGTTTTGAAAAAGTTAATGAATGATTTTGTTGAGGAAATGAAGAAATCAAGTGAGCTTATAAATAAATAAGTTTTATTTTTATAAATTTATGTTATATATAAATGTTTTTAGAGTTTCAGTTTATAAGATGTTCAGAAAAGATGTTTGAATGATTTGAATATGACATCAAAATATTTGACATATAAAATATTAAATTTTTCTCATTATAATTATCACATTATTTTATTCTCTGCAGATATAAATGTTGAACTCTACACAAAACAACTGCACATCAGCCTGGCCTACCAATTTGCAGCCGACAAACGTTCAAAGCTGGAAAGTCTTGCAAAGAATGTGAACATTCATCTGCCCGCTCGCTGGGACCTCAGGCTCTACTCCAGGGATAGGAACATGGATAAGTTGCAGGTGCACAACTCTTGTACTCGATATAGTGCTTCATAAATATATATTCACGTATTAGGCTAATTTCATTTAATATATTATCTCAATATATATAAACAGGATAATACTGACCACATGCTAATAATAACATTAATATCTCAGTTTGTGTTGATTGTTTTGTTCTTCTTAGTTTTATTCAGTGTAATAATGCATCTGCCTGTTATACCCACTTGTTGTATTGGTATACAACATTTTTATATGACCAATATATTAGAATGATGTAATAGTGAATGTCTTAATTCAAGGAGGGTTTGTTACAAAACAGGTGCACAAAGTTCTCTACACGTACATCCCACGAGTGACGGATGAGTTGGAGCTCTGTGACAGGGACTACATCTTTGTGAAAGAATCCGAGCTTGAAACGAGTACAGATGGCTGGTACGAGGGAACGTCGTGGATGACTGGATGCTCTGGAATGTTTCCTGGTGCCTACACAGAACGCAGTGCTGAGACTGAAACCTGGGTTATGCACAGGTAGGAGATATCTGAATGGGAACTTGTCGCTGCATACTTATTTTGTGGTTGCGAATGTATTGCATTTGTTTTGGTGCATTCATGTACATTGTGCTTCAGTTAAAATGAGTTTTTCTGCTTTAAATCAATTCAATCAATAATGCGTGTTTGACTACAAATACTTTTTATTTTATGAGAAGCTGCCCTTGCTATGTTTATAGAAACTGAAGTATTAATGTTAAAACTAGTAATTTATAAATTTTGTTTGTTCAGAAATGTACCTCTTGTTAATAAAGATTTTGTTGTGAAGACTGACCAGGTTGGACCAACACATTGGACCACAGACCAAGTTTGTTCATGCATTTTCATTTCTCTTGTTTTTCATTTATTAATTTTTTTTTCATCTTATCACCTAACGCTAATCTTGGTTATAATTTTTTTCCCAAATGTTTTTCAGTGGTGTTAGGTTAACTCAATAAAAATAGCATATGCAAATACACATGAATCAATGCATGCCTGCATCAGACACACTTTGTATGGTTGGCGAGAATTGCATTTGAATCCAACCACTGTAACCCAGGATCAGGTTCCTTTTAACATCTGCAACGTTTCATTCCAAGGTTGGCCAGCTTTGGAATTAAGTAAATCTATTTAGATGTTCAGTTGCCAACTATTCTTAAGGACTGTCATCTCAAAAGCTGGGCCAAATTAAAAATATCATCATCAGTATTAATAAAGCAATCATGTTGTTATAATTACGTGATAATGTAATTTTCATTTTTCCAGAACAATGCCATGTGCACAAACATGCCCTCCATAACTCCAGAATCGACATATCTCGACCGCAAATCTCTCACCGCCATCATCCCGACCAGTCTCGGAGTCATCGAAGAAATGAACGAGACCCTGGAGAGGAACAACAGGATGGAAGTGGATGACGCAGAAAACGACAAGAACTCTTGCACTGGCAGTCGGGCTGGTGACAGTTTGAAAAGGGCGAAGGAGGATTGTTACGGTCCCCTCCCCGATGTTGCCACATCTCACTCACAATCATCTTCATCTTCTTCATCGATGACAACAAGTCGAGATAAGGGAGATGGTTAATAGTTTCATTTTTTTTACGAGAGTTTCTCTTTAAGAACTTTGCTCTGTTTAATATTTTTTATGTCTGAGTTTCATTTTCAGTTCAGCTGTTACAAATATTTATTCTTTGTTTTTGTTTCTGGTTTTTCAATGTTAATTATTATTATCAGATATTTTTCAGAAAACCTGTGACAAAATGTTATTACTAATGTATTAGTTTTATTTGTTGCTACAACACTGATTGATTGTTTTCACATTTTTTTTATAACATTACAAATTTGCTCTTATTTCAGACTAAATTATTGTTGCCATAATTTAAAATTTGTTTTTTAGATGACAGCCTAACAAAGCAACACAAAGGCCGACACCAAGCAGTATCACCACTGACAGGCACATCACCGAAGGGACCGAGGCAGTTGTTTGTCGTCAGGCACGGAGAAAGAGTTGATTTCACTTTTGGAAAGAACTGGATTCAGTGTTGCTTCAACAATGCAGGTATATTTCATTCGTTTATAATTTGCTTCTGATGTAAATTTTGTTTTCATAAACCGTGATACATTTTGCTTTTTGTTTCAATTTCATATTACTAAATTGTGATGCTTGATGCAATGTCAGGTAATTACATTCGATACGACCTGAACATGCCCGGCTCAGTTGCGAAGAGAAAGGGGGGTCCACAGTCTTTCAGCCAGGACTCTCCCATCACTGTCCAGGGTCACTTTCAAGCTCGTCTCTTGGGTTGGTCTTCTTTTATATAGTTTGTTCGTTTCTGCGTGTTCACGCATATCAATATAATATCACATAGGTGGGTCGCGCAATTAAATTATATGAAAGTTTTGAAAATTATTTTAGGTGAGGCAATGTATGAAAAAGAGATTGAAATAAGTCACGTTTATGCATCGCCCTCTCTTAGATGTGTCGAAACTGCATCAAGTATTCTAGAAGGTTTTTTTAGTCTTTGTCTTGCTGCTTTTTGGTTTTTGGATAATTGAAGCACAAAATTGTACGTTTAGATTTAGGCTTTCTATTTAAATGTTTGCAAGTTATATCATGTGCTTCAACAATTTTACAATTAATGGCTTTTTTCTTTTGGCTTACAACGTAAAAATGAATCAGACTAGAAATACCATCTATTATGTTAACGGCCGTTTAATAGTCCACATAGCTTAACTAGTCATTAAATCGTTTTTAAATCTTTTGTTATTAACAGATAATAAGTTGAATATACTTTTGCAAGGTATGAAATTAGACAAGGAAATAAACATAGAACCCGGCCTCTTTGAATGGTTGAGTTGGTACCAAGAAAGTCTACCAGACTTCATGTCGCTTGCCGAGTTGAGGGATGCAGGCTACCCTGTCAACCAATCATATAAACCCGTCTGGTCCGTCTCCAAGTTCAACACCAACGAAACTGTGGAGCATTTTTATGAAAGGTGTTGCTTGGTCACCAAGGAGATTTTGAAGAAGCATGAACATCAAGGTTGTCGACATCATTACGTTGGGATTTATTCATTTATTCTTTTATTCATAAAATGTATGTATTTATAGTATTTTTGCATTTCACCTGATGACTATTTTTTATTATCTAACTGCATTAATTTTAAATAATAAATTATTTTCAAAGAAGTGGCGACCAATTTTAATAATTTAAATAATTATATATATTTAAATAAGAAAATGTTATCATCAGGTGGCAGTTTGTTGTTCGTCTCACACGGCATCAACCTGGACACGTGTACAAGAAGATTGGTCGGCCAGCCATGTCGAAGTCTCAATGCTTTCCACGAAATTATACAGAAGATACCTTATTGCGCTGTAGCGGCAGCCCAGGTAGGTGTTCTTCTTCCCGCCCCAATTTTCGGGTTGGATGCTGTCACTGCATTGACTCCATCACGCATAATCATTCTAATTCCAAATTATTTACTTATATTTATTGAACGGCATGGACGAACAAAAAATTAAAAAAATTATTGAATTATATGAAAGCAATCAATAACAAATGAGCTCTCTTAAATATTTTCAAACTACAATTTTATAATACTCAAAATATACAAGAAACCTTTATTTGCGCAAACTCTTAAAAATATTTGTTAAAATGCGTTCAAATGTACAAACCACGCCAAACAGGAAGCCACAGTCGTGAGAGACACTTGGTACCTAATTGAACCTCCCGTTTTACCATTCGCACACACCAGCAACCATCGATATAACTGGACACTACTCACACAGCCCACGATTTTATGATTTGGTTCAAGTTTATGACAATCTTTAAATATAACTATATATATATATGTATATATATATATTTATTAGTTTATTTATTAATTTTTGTATATACATACCTATATATTTGGTGGATTTTTTATTTTTCTACCTGATTTTTTAACCATAAAATTTACTGAAACAGATCTTTTATGTGAATTAATTTATTTTAAGACTATGTGCATCGGAACGTTACTAAATACAATTCAAACGTATTATGATTTAATAAACATTTCAGTTTCAATCATCATCGTCATTTCGACTATGCTAAAATGATTTCATGCTTTTTTTCAATTATTTCAATGATATTTTTTGATTGCGTTCGCATTACGTACCCAAATTTGATCCATCTATCTTCAATGTTAAACGCACACAGACACCACACACCACCCACAGTACGCTGACATTAATCAGTAAAAGAAAATAACCCTAAGTAATTTTCTTTTCTGAGCAACCAGCCAGTCAGTCAGGTAGAACAGAACTTCAAATGCATTCAATTCTCTTCTCTACGTTCATCTTCATTTTTGGTAAATACATGGTATTCGTATTAAATGTAAATGTATATACATATATGCTACCCGAATCTAACTTATGATTGTGAGTCAATTAAACTGTTTGTTATGATTCAATAATGTACCAAGAAATAATTTATGACTGTTCTCCACAATGTGTTTTTTTTATTGTAATACGTATAATTTGCATCTATTTATTCACTTCTAAGTATTCAAGTTTTGTTTTAAGCTGCAGTCTTAACGAACGAAATTAAATGATACTTAAAAATATTTTAAACACTTTCTAAACATTATCAATCCAATTAACTTGATGATTCAGATTTTTTTGCGCCAGATTTTAAATAATTTTTACATTTTCTACAATTCACAATACGAAACAGCGCTCATAACACTAATTAACTACAGCTAATCACATGAACATAATGATAAACAGCTCCAAACAAGTCCCCGCATATTTTTCAAGAGTTGATTTTTGTTCAATTAATTTTTTGAACTGATTTTGCGAAACTTAATTTTAATGAAAGTCATAAATGTATTTTAAATATTATTGTATTTGCATACATTTTAGTAACTATTGGGTTAATATTTTAAGTGACGAATTTGACTTTTATCTTAATTACAAAACGCCATATTATAAAAAGAAAATATTTGAAAACGATCAAAAAATTTAACAATTCTTTATCAGTGAAGTGCAATAGCAGTGGTAGTTTTCTAGGCGGGCAATAATTGAAAGTATTTATCAATGCGATCAAAACATCGAAGCATCATCAATGAAGATGAAGAGCAGTAGGTGAATTATGAAGGCAGGGTGACTAGAATTTTTAACAGAATTACTTTATCAATCAACTAATCAATCGATACTAAAGTCTAGCAATCGTCATGAAAACCAACGGATGGGTTGATATTACTTTTTGTATATGATTTTCCATTTACTTGGTTGCTCACATGCAGAGTTACCATCTACACAGAAAGCATTGTACGTAGTTTCTTGTCTGAAGCCCAGGATCTCACGCTCTTCATGTATACGGAATGAGAATGTTGAGGATGTGGTTCCAATAAAGTATCTTCAATGAAAATTTTCATAATCGTTAAGATTAAATTACCAAGTAATTGAATTCACAGTAGAAAAACAACGAGTAAACAAATTCAGTATCGACACACCTGGCATGAGCGCAGATCCACTGATCGATGATGGCTACACCTCCATCGCCGTATTTTCTGAGAACGTTTTTGTCACCCTGGTATCTGTAAACTTCTACTGAAGGTTTTATGTTGATCTTTAGTCCTTCAAGCTCTGGTGAATAACAAATATGTACACAAATTATTCTTTGCAACATTTCATACAAATTAGAAATGATAAATGTAAAATTATATGCTTAAATGAAAATTCAACAAAGAAATTCTAGAAATTCAACAAAGAGTTGTCACAGACATTTGAAGAAATAAAGATGACCTGGTTTTTATTGCACTAGCAACTTTAATGTCATCTCGAATTCAAAGAAACGTTTTATTTAATTGAAAAGTAAATATATGAAATAAAATAAAAATGAGATTCCTTTAAATATAGAGAGAAATGAACAACACAAACCTTCGCCTGAAGCATCAGTAGCCACAAAAACTTTTTTCAAGTGCAGATCATCCAATATTTCATTGATGCGCTGGGCTGCAGCTTTCATGGAAGGAAGTTTGTCCTGGTGTCCATACAGGAAGTCCCTCCTTCTCAGGTGGGCCGCAAGGTACGGACCGCCAAGGGCATCTCCGTGTTTTCGCTGATGATCAGTAAGTAACCAGTTAAAATATTGAAAACAATCAATGAACCGTATTTATTTCTTATTGGGAGTATTCAAGAAAAATTGAATAGAAACGCAATTATGTAAACTACAACTTAATAAACTATAAAACATTCTGTAACCTTATCCACTTATTTAAATATAACTATTAACTAGCCTATGCCGGAAATATAACTATTAATAAACATTTGTGTAAAGCAGTGTTGTGTACAATTATGTAGGTAAAAATAAATTATTTATAGTGACCACAATAGTGTAATATATCTTATAATAAGACCACTATTTTTAGCAGTAATCCAATTGAGAGTGAGTAAAGACTGCTGTAGTGAAATAATAAATAAGCGATGAACATTATGGGTTTATTTAGAAAACATAAGCCAGGAATGGATTCAAATTGTTTCAGGTAATATTAATTAAGATGGCAATAATCATTCACGTATGGAAATTACGAAATCTTCTTTCTCCAAGCTAATAACCAAAAGTTGATGAAAGAAAACTTATTCTCAATGCATTACTTTCATTTTTTTCCAGTTGTCTTCCATGACAGTTTGGTCTCTGAAGTCATCAGAATCCAACATAGTTGATCGAAACTTATCGCCAATACTTACAAGATCTTTGGAAAAACGTACACTACGTCTGGCCTGAAATAAAAAATATCTTTTAATTATGGAAAGTTACGAACATTTTACAAACAAATGACATAAAATAAAGTTGATTTAAGATTGGACATAAAAAAGAAAACCAAAGATTTAAAAAAAATCATAACGATTTTTAATTTTTTTTATTGCAGTTATTATTTGTTTGTCTTATTTTAATAGTCAATAATATTTAAAAGCATCCAATAGTTTCTCAGTGCTGTTCAAACATAATTTATTTTTTTAACAATCAACATGACTACTTCAATATTTTTGGAACAGCTAAAAATTACCAATTCATCATTACAACTTTAATTTTAAGAAATCAATGCAAGAAGTCAATAGATGAAACCTGCTTGCATGAAATGTTCGTGCTGTTGAATAATCGATTAGTACTAAAAAATTTATTTAGAAAATTCAGAAAAATTGTGAAAAAATGCTTTGAACATTCAGTAATGTTATAACCATTAAAAACTAAAAAATAAAAAGTAATAAAAAAAACCTGCCGTCCAAAATTCTTGACTCCATTCTGAATATTCTCCATGCATGACCTGCTCACCTCGTGGAAACATCACCGCCCTTGTGATTGTTTGAGTAAAAAGTTAGACTTGTGAAGTTAGATATCATTTAATTGTTTTTGCACTTATTGCAAAAAATATGAATAGTACGTATTCATGTACAATTCTAAAATAACAAAATGGCCAAACCAATGAAAATCAGTTAAATCTACCAGGAATTTGATAAATTATGGATGAGGTAGTCTTTCAAAAAACTGTATTCTGCTTGGATGCTCACACATTTGAATCTCACTGATGTTATGTTTGGCATGTACCAATGCCATAAGCCATCTTCTAACTTAAATAGACAAATAAAATTGAAAATTTTTCAAAATTGTATGAACAGGTTTGAACTTTTAAATAAAAAAATTAATTACTTAACCAGCTTTTGAATAAACACAAATTAAAATTGGTAAGAAACTAAGTGCTTCAAATTAAAAACAAACTGCATAATTTGAAAAGCTTAAAATTTAAACTGGTTTTATAGAAAAACGATCATGAATAAAAATTTTGAGACTTGATAGAAAGGATGGTTGTCATTGCATTCTCTGTCATCCATCTTCTCAACCCACTTGCCTCCCCACCCTTCCTTGTAGTGCTGGAAATAAATGACATCATCAATAGGCCTGCCATCCATTACTGAAATAAAAAATAAAGGATCAACCTCATCTTGTGTGTGTGTGAGTGCATCAGTTTAAAATTATTTTTGTTAAAGTAGTTGACATACATAAAAAATAAAAATATGTTATGACCTGCCATTATTCAATTATATGAAATTGCACACCTGATGTTTTTGCAATTTGAACTACTGAAATAACCTTTCACAAAATCATGGAACTCAATGACAGGAACATGTTTATTCAAGCTACCAATGTCAAAAAATGTATACCATGGGATATTTGTTTGGTTAACATCAGATCTCCAGTGATACAAATGATTCCAAGCTGGCAAAACCAACGTCCACAATTGAACCTTAAAGTAAAAAATGTTTTTCACTAAGTAATAAGATTATTATAAAAAGAAGTTGATGACTGATTCGATAAAGAACCAACTTTGTTAAGCATCTTCACCAGGTTCGCCATTCTCAGGTACACATCTCTTCTCAGATTGAAACCTTCCCCAGGGTTTACATCATACAACAGAAACCTATTCATGGTTCAAATTATCTTATTCATAATCTTTATTCAACTTTGTCATCCATCAAAATTTTTTAAACAATCTAATCATTAATATAAAATTGAGGGATGTTAGGAGTATATTTAGTATAATTAATTAAGACTAATAAACAGAAAGAGCAGGACATAAAAATAAATACAAAAAAACTGTCCATGCAGTATTTTAACCAAAAACTAACCTAGACTGATCCAATGATTTGGTTGTTGGCAAGCCCTCAAGAGAACTTGCAGTAGAAAAAGTGTGAAAACTTGCCACCCTATCATTAACTATTTCATCTTTTGCACAAGCAATAAGAAAGGATGCAGTAAAAAGAATATAGATGAAAAAATTGCATAAAATGTTAATGACGACCTTAGTCATTTTATTTATTAAATTTTAATTTGAGTAATGTAATTGATACAATACCAGATTAAAATTTTAATTAATTTAAATTTTAAATTAATTAAATAAAAGTTTTAACTACAAGTCTTTTAAATTTTAAAAAAGTAAGTAAATTATTATTATTTTTAAAATATGAAACTTAATTTTTAAATTAAAATTTAATTAATTAAATTGAAAAACCAGGATATTGGCGGTGAAACGATAATAATTAATTACAAATACTAGCACGTAACTGCACCGTTTATCGCTTAAATTTGCATGCATAGAAACTACTATAAGTATGTAGCATGGATATATATAACATCCATCCATATCAATCAATTTCCGCGAAGTTCAACAGCGCTCCTCAATGAATTTTGAAAACAAATGGGTCTTGAGATCCGCTCTGAACTTGGCAAGTGTTGGAGAAGTAGTCAGAGAAAGAGGTAGAGAGTTCAAGAGAAAAGGACCAGAAAAAGCAAATGCAGATTTAGTAAAAGAGTGTTTAACACGAGTTAAGAAAAAGCGAAAAGAAGAAGACGAACGTAAACCGGGGCCGTTTAGGTTCAATTAATATATCTGATAAATACTTAGGAAATAATTTAGATTGAGACTTATATATGAACGTGCAAATTTTAAAAATTATTCTATATTTTATAGGTAGCCAGTGCAAGAGAACAAGATATGGAGATATATGAGAAAAGAAAGGGGCATGAGCAACTAGACGAGCAGCAGAGTTAAAAGCTTTACTTAAAGGATAGAGTATAGAGTCAGGAAGACCATAGTAGAGCGAGTTGCGATAATCAATCCTAGATAAGACTGACGAAGTAACAAGAAGGAGAAGAGTAGGATCATCAAGAAAAGGCAAAAGTTTTTTTATTCTACGTAGATGAAAGTAAGAGCTTCTACCAACACTATTAATCTGAGAAGAAAGACATAGTAGAATCAAAGATAAAACCTAGACTACGAAACTTATGAGAGACATCAAGAGTTTTAGAATCAGGTAAGATAATAGGAGGAATAGTAATAGAATGTTTAGATTTATTAAAACAAATTAATTCAAACTTAGAAGGATTAAGTTTAAGACACATAGAGTCAGACCAAGCGATAATTGAAGAAAGACATAGAGATAAATTATGAAGAACACTATTGAGATTAGATGGAGGAAAATAAGTATAAATGTAAGAATCATCAGCATATAGTTGACTAGAGAAAGAAAAGTTATTAATAATACGAGGTAGTTCAGAAGTATAGAAGTATAGAGTATAAATAGAAGAAGGCCAAGGATAGAAAGAACCCTGAGGTACCCAGAAAGTAAGAGTAGATGAGTTAGAAGTAGAATTATTGAAAACAACAGAAGAAAAACGATTACAGAGATAAGAAGAAAACCAAGATAGACAAGAATCAGTAATATTAAAAGAAAGATGCAGCAGTCTCAAGAGAATAGTATGGTCAACAGTATCAAAAGCCGAGGAAAAGTCAAGAGCAAGAAGAAGAGTAAGATTACTATTGTCACTAGAGAGAAGGATATCATTGTGTACTTTAAGTAAAGAAGTTTCAGTACTGTGAGCAGGTCTGAAACCAGATTGAGATACAGGTAGCAAGGAGTTAAAGTCTAAATAGGATGACAGTTGATTAAAAACTACTTTTTCTATTATTTTAGAGATGAAAGTAATATTAGTTACAGGTCTATAATTAAATAAAGAGGTAGGATCTAAGGATGAGTTGGCTTACTGTGGTGGCTTACTGGGTCTTATACAACTGTGTCATGGCGGTTTTCTGTACATGTAATGCTTTAATTAAATCAATATATTTATATCACAATTATTTTTATCAATATAAATATAGAAATTGCTTTAGTCTGGTGAAAAACAGTG